TAGATGTGACCTCCTTAGGTCCCTTCAACCCTCCTTGTGTGCGAGTCTATGATCCCCTTCTGCAAGGTCGCATCCCCACCACCCATGAGGACCTGGAGGACCCTGCCAGGTAGTGGACGTAACGTGCATTCCCTCCACAAGAATAAATCTGGTTCCTTCTGCCTCTTGTCCCAGCTACGCCCTGCACCTCATCATCCGGCTGTTGCCGGCATGGCCCGGCTGGAGGGGACGTGCTGGGTGAGCTGGGGAGGGGGCAGCGCCTAGGGGGCACCTGGGAAAGCTGTTGGATCTTCTTTTGGGGCCACGACTCTGCTCCCCCTGAGGGACTGCTCTTCACAGGGCACTTACAAGTTATGGGCACAAATCTCACACAAGCTGCCGTACGAGACGCCGTCTGTGCCGCAGGTGGGATTGTAGATCCGCGGGCAGAATATCATTGCTTTGCCTTCCTTGGTCGTCCAGGATGGGTAGTTTCTGCAGTCCACCTGTACGAGGAACCGTAGGTACCAGCTAGCCACTGCTGCCCCGATAAAACCACCCTGGGACATGGACTGGGCAGGACATTGTCTGTGCATCACTGAACCCCAGGCTTTTCACGCCTGACCCCTCCCTCTGTGAGGTCCAGGGAAGATACGGCACTCACCTGGAGGGACTCGTGCTGGCAGTCTCCATCGTGTTTTATACTAATGTTTGCGTTGTGCTCTCTAAAAGAAGAGGAAAGGGGTGTTAGGAGCTCAGGGAGAAGAGCAGGCCTCACTGCCAAGCTCCAATTTACTGCGGGAGATGTCGGAGTTGCCAGATGGATTTCCTCCACCCGCTGCTACAAGACAAGCATCGTCCTGCTGGCAGCAGACGTGCCCAATTGCCCGTCTCCGGGTGCTGCAGGGTCTGCCATGCTTTTCCCTTCTCAAGCCCCACTGGCCTACTTGCAATCTGGGTTGTCATCTGGCTTTTCCTGCCTACCCCGCTCGAGCACAGACAGGGGGAGGAAGAGGAAAGCCAGAGGTGGGAGAGGTGAGGAGAAGGGCCAGTGGCTATGAGAGCCACAGAAACAGGCCAGTCTGGAAACAGTAAAGCCGAGTTTTCGGCCTGTTTAAAGAGGAACGACTTGGAAGGCTTGTGCAGTACTCACAAGTTCTGGACACAGATCCCACACTCATTGCTGTAGGAGATGCTGTCTGTGCCACAGACTGGTCTCAGGTGCCGAGGGCAGACGATCAGCGCTTTGCCATCCTTAGTTGCAACCGGGGGGTACAGACTGCAATCAAGCTGCAAAAGCAATAAAGCAATGATCCTAGGGCAGTCTTGCTCCTATGAATCCTGACCCCGGGGTTATCTGCCCTGCCTGCGCCTCCCAGCCCTTTTGCAGACCAGTTAGGGTTATTTTGAACTTATTCTCCCATCCCGTATGGTGCGGGTCAGTCCTACAGCGGTCTTTCCTGGTGTCTCCTGCTGGAGGCAAATGAATGCATTGCACAGCCAGGAGTGAGGACACCCCAAAACCTGCATTCAGGGCGAGGGACTCACTTCCTAGGGAAACCAGCTGGGTGTGGAAGCCTAATCTAATGAGTTTCCAATTATGCTTTAATGAGACCAGGAATTGTTTCAGCACTTGCAAAGCATGCAGACAGAAACATGCCACCGGAGCCGTATGAGGATCCTCACATCTCCCCAGCTGGTGTCAGCTAATCTAGTGCTGTGGTGACAGAGCTTCACCTGGTATCGATCTGCAAGTCAAAGGACCTCTTTGCTATAATGTTATATGGGGTTGTGCGCCTTGGTTGCTCTCATGCAGCCCTAGCACAGACTGCATCTACCATGAATTTCCTTGAGCCCGACTGCATGGGAGGGGAGTACGTGACCCCTAGGGTTATATTCTTCCACACAGACAGCATTTAGGGAGCTTTGCTTCTTAATCTACCAGACTACTCCTTTTAGCCTAATATATCATCAGTGGGTATACTAAGTCTGTATGATTATTTAGTTTCATAGATTCACGATTATCTAGTTAACCAGTAGTTCAGTGACAGACCTGCTGACCAGCCTGGCAAGTGTCGCTGACATGGGCAGTAATGACCCAATCATGTGTCTGGTGACAGTAAAGCGGGTGGAGGTGCCCGCGGGCTCTATCCACTTGGCCACACGGCCCTTCCCAACCCTGCTGCTGGGCCAGGGGTCTAGAGAGCGACACAGAAAATATGGAGACATCGACCACTCACCTCTGATCCAAGAGCACCATCTAAAAGAAAAGGACAGATAGAAAACATGAAACAAAGTTAAACCATGAGCAGGCACGGAGAGAAAGCATATTACTCCATGAATAAATGCGGTTTCAAATCCAGTGACCAGCAGTAAACTCTTTCTTGGACTAAATAAAATGTGTGACATTTTGTACTGGGATTGTAAATGACCACAGAGTTTCCTAGTGTTTAACACAGCGTCCCGTGCTATTACTGCTGTTCTTTCTTTCTCCTTTCTTCTTTTTTTTTGGATATGGTTATTTATTAATCAGAAAAAAAATGATTTTTTTTGCCACAGCCCTTCCTCATGGTGTCAGAGGATAGTCTGGGTTTCTAAGGGGCAATGTATGTAAGGCAGGACAAATACATGATGCAACCGGGTGCATGATAATAAACAAAGGTTTGCAGGAAACGGAGGGTGACAATTATGCATTTCATAAAACACCCATTTTAAAAGTTTTGGGGTTTTTTTAAAGAGTTTCATCTTTTAATTCTGGGATTTCCGGGCAGACTGTCATCCTCTAAAACTGCCTGGGCATCTCCTGACATGTCCCACTCAATGCAGCGGTAACGTCTGCATCTGCAGTGCCTGCACGGGTAGAGAGGATGTCAGAAACATCTGGCTGGACCCGTACCATGTTCTTCACGGCAACCGCTCAGTGCAAAACTGTGTCTGCAGCTATTTCTACTCACAAAGCTGAAGGCCCCACGAGAGCTGCGTTGAAGCGTCAGCCCCGGTCTTCCAGCGAGACCTCCCTCCACGTGGTCATAACTTGGGGCGTGTCTGGGTCCTGGAGCGAGGAATGGCAGCACCGGGCTGCACCCAAGAGCGACTCACCTGAGAAGTGCGAAAGTGCTAGGGCAAGCAGCACAACCGTGCTGGCGGCCTTCCTCATGCTGGGATGACGGTCCAGTCTGGTGTGGTCTGCCAGGGCTCTGCTCAAGAGATGGTTCCCCTAAGGTGCAGACCGCGGCGGGGTGTGCATATATATTCACTATGCCCCCGCACGACCTGGGGGGGCCCTCACATCCCACCTGGTTGTGAAACAGCCCTCCAAAGCCTGGCAGTATTTACTGAGGCCTTGACTTCTAGCTAATGATTCACACTGGAAGGCAGGAGCAAAAGGGGCCCGCTCCGCAGTGGAGCCCAGTTGCCCATGATCACGTCCCACCATGTCCTGTCGTCCCATTCAGAGCCTGCCTGGGCTCCGCTTTCTTGCCCCTTCTCACCTCCACTTCCTTTCCGGAAACTATTCCTGAACCTCGGGTGGTTAGAAAACATCTGCTTACTCTTCATGCCCTCTGCAGAGCGGTCGTTCATCTAGCTGGTCTGGATCCCCTCCCTTTGCTGGGGATACAAACTCCTGATAGCTCTCGCACCTTCGACAGCAGGAAACGTCCAGACTCTTCGTTCAAGGCGCAGAGCTCTTCCGGCCAGTTGGCTTCACCGCTTCCCTCTTTGCAACCACAGGCCTTCATTGATGAGCCATTTTTGATCATCATCTTCCATTTAATTTAAACAGACAACCCGTGATCACCCGATCCAAGATTATTTTCTGCCTCCATGCAGCCTGGTTAGACTCAAGGCACCTCATGGAAAATACTGGTTAGATTCAAGGCTGCAGAGACAGGCTAGACCCATGGGAAATGCCAGCTCTTATTTGTTTTTTCACTCTGGAAAAATGCTAGAGCAATTCTTGTGCTGCAAAGACCGCACCAGGTCAGAGGGGTTCCGATACTCTGGATCCCCATTTGAAATCTCTGGGTTTAGCTGGTGGATCTTGTCTACTGGTTTGCACCCTGAGCAGTGCTAATATTGTGCAGCACCCTGCAGTATCCTGAGAAGGAGTCGCACCACACCCTGGTTGGAAAGCACCGATCCAGCTCTTCCGTCGACCGAGTCAGCTTGTGTTGGCTCCATGGCTCCTCGGTGAAGACACATTGTCATTAGCAGCATTTGCGCTCCCGTCTGTAGCTGGGACACGAGTATCTGGCATCACGACGCAATTCCTCGTGCTATGGCTCTCTCTAATGTCCCTGCCCATTTCCCGGTCTGGCCCTGCTATTTCCAGGAAGACTCCCAACACTATCCCACTATCCTGGTCCAACATAATTTTGGCTGAAAGAGATTCTGTTTTCGTGGTTACAAGAGACTGCTGTTGCCTGGGTCTTTGCTTAGTAGCTTGTGAATTTTTTTTCTGAGATGTAGTAAAATGTAATTCCCAGATATCAAGGAACAAGCACGCTAGTCTCCTCTGCGAAGGGGCTGAACACTTACAGGCTCTTCTGACCGAGTGTCTGGGTAGACGCACGTTGCCCTTTGCACCCCAACTGAAGGCAGCTGCTCCCTTTTATTCAAGATGCAACTCACTGGTTGCAAAGGCTGGTTGGAGAGCGCAGCTATTCCCTCGCCCTGTGCCTGCCCCTTTGCAGTTTAGCAGTGAGGATTGCCCAGGCCCTCCCTCTACTACGACATCTGAGGATTTTCCTGGAGACGACTTAGTAAGAGCTTCTTGGGCATGTCACCAGCCAGGCTCAATACAGATAGGAATGGGCAGTCGGCAATGGCCAGGCTCGTCTGGGGGACGCTACGTTGCACCCCAGATTGTCATGCCATTTGGTGCTCGTCTGGTAGCAAGAACGGACTCATGACAAGTCCATTGCCAAGTGGGAGGAGTGGGGGGGTCAAGTGCAATTCTGCCAAAGTCCACAAAAAACATCACCTGAGCCTTATCAGCGGGGCCTATTGACAGACCGAACCATGGCTTGAAATGCAGGGTATCAGGGTGTTCTGCCAAGACAGCTGGAGCAAAATTGCAATGAAGTTTTATGAGCCAAGAGACTATTTGCATTAGGACAAGGTTAAAGGGGAAAGTACAATGTGCACTTGTTCCCTTCGCACTGTCTCAACGCTAGCGCCGCGGCTGACTCGAGCCGTGACATTTGCATCCCGAGGAGGTGTTCGTCAGCGTAGCTATTCCCCTGGAGAGCAGAGGCATTGTCCTGTGAGCTGAGCGAGGCAGGGGCTGCAGGAAAGGGGGCTGCCAGCATTTCCCTGCTGTGCCCCATTAGCTGGGAGCTCCCTGCTCTCTCGATGTGGGTAGACGGCTGCCATAAGCAAGAAGGCTCTTGCAAGAGACCCTACAGGGCGCTCCAAGACCTGACCTTCAATTCACACCTGAAGGAGGCCCTGGAGCAGGGCAGACATAGGGGAAATGCTGCCAGGAGCAGGCAGGGAGCCTCTGCATCGGGGGGGAAGAGGGCAAGTCTCGGGGAGACGATCTCTGCAGCAGAATCTGCAGGGAAGAGAGAGGCCCGGGCAGGAGACTGCAAGGAACAAGAGACACCTGATGTGCTCAGATTTGGGGATTTCCTCCCACGCACCTACGGCAGTGCCGCTTGAATCTGATCAGTGAGCAGCATTTATTTACAGAGCAGATCACGTTCAGAACAGGGCCAAATGCACCCAGGTCTGTCAAGGTCTTGGGAATGAGCTGCAGGGAGGTTTGTGATTGCACACAGTATATTTGCTTCAGGACTCAGCTAGAAGGCAACATACAGCTGTTACTTAATGCCTGCAAAGGCCTGGTAGAGCTCTCTCAACCCTATCTTGTATCCTCCTTGCACCTCGATTGCCAGGCTCCCTGCAAGCGAGTGCAGATGTCAAGGACACTTGGCAGGTCCAAAGACAGGGACTCTGGCACCTCATGTAGGTTGTGGCTGTGGGAATAAGGCCAACGTGGATTCCCTCTGGGTGCATACATTTCTGTCTGGGCATCAGTGCAACCATCTGAGTCTGGCCTACAAGTGCATCAGGGATGCACCTGAGCTAAGAGATGCCCCTCAATCTCTCCTGGTCCGCGCCGTCTTTCGTTCTCAACCTGCCCCCTCAGGGGGTTCATCTGGGGACAGGAGTGTGTCCGTGGATAAATTGTGCGCTGCTGCTTATTAATGAAATGGGTTTTACACTTGCCCAGGTTCCAAAAACGTCTTTGGCATTTATTGGGCTGCAGGAGGCATCTCCATGCCTGGGATTGCTCAGCAGAGCTGGAGCTGGCCTCGCAGAGAGGTCCAAGACCCACTCAGCTCATGGGAACGTGCCAAATCACCCCGCCGTGGTGCACACTGCAAACGTGCCTATGCACAGGCTGCTACCGTCTCCCCTCCCGCCGGCCTTCATGGTGCCAGTAGCATGTCACAGCTTGCTGTGTGGTGAACACCACGTCCCCGCTTTGTATGCATGCAATCAAATGGTGGCATAACAGTGCCAAGGATCAGCACGGAGGGACCTGGTGATCCCAGCTTAGCAAATGCTGTTGCTTGCCAAACCTAGGAGGCTTGGTTCATGGGTGGTGCAGGGCACCCCACACTCAGTAGACCTGGTGCTTTCTGAAAGCTTTGGAAACCTTTCTTCTCCATAACACATCTGGGGAAGCGGACCTCTGCAGCTGCCCACCGCTCTGAGAAACCTCCTGTTCATACGGCCGCTTTCCACTGAAAACAGGGTTGGCTTCAAATTTTTGGTTTCCTGTTTCTGGAAACAATTACTATAAACTATGCCTGGGAAGCCTGTCCTGCTTCATGGAAAAGGCCAGTTTTTGTTGAAGAAGTGTTTTAATAAATGGAAATTAACCCTCTCAAGTCACTTCTCTCAAAATCATGGGAAAGGAGGGTTGGAAAGGACCTCAGGAGGTCACATCTAGTCCAA